AAATAAATAAATATTTTTTTTAAAAAAATTCACTTTTACTTTCTATATGTTTGGATCATGTGAGTTAATTTAAAATGTTAAAACTTTTTTATGGACCACTCCACAAGGAATATTTATTTATTTATTTATTTATTTGGCAGGACCAGGGATTGAAGTCAGGCCCTTGCACTTGCCAGGGAAGTACTTATTCTACTGAGCCATTCCCCGGTCCCCAGGAATACATAATTATTGTGGCAAATGTGAATGTATGGGTATAAATAGAAGTAAGAAATTCACTGCCCAGCAGCTACTTCCTTATCTTCCTCAGTCATGGCTGAGCTATGGGAAATGCCTGTCCTTTGGGCTGGCCCTGTATTGTAGAGATCTGGCAAGGCCCTGCCAATTTGTCCCAGCCCAGGAGCCTAAAAACTGCTTCAGCCCAGGATGGTGGTGCACATTTGTAAAGCCAGTGCTCAGGGGGCTGAGGCAGAAGAATCGCAAAGGGTTTAAGACCAGCTTGGGCTACACAGTGAGTTCAAGGCCAGCCTGAATTCTGTAGTGAGACCCTGTTTCAACACACCTAAAATAAATAAACAAATAAATCCCATTTAATATAAACTATAAGGGCTGGCCAGATAGCTCAGCAGATTAAAGCACCTGCTTAGGTATATGCAGGGGCCGGGGTTCCATCCCTGGCCTGCTATGCCAGGCCCACCCCTGGGACCTGCCAAGCTGGCCATTGAGACTGGGTGTGGTGGCGCTCGCCTGTAACCCCAGCATTTGAGAGGCTGGAAACAGGAGGATCACTACATGTCTGATCTGTGTAGTGAGACCCTGTAGACCCTGTATTAAATACATTAAAAAATAAATAAAATAAACTATAAAAACCAAGAAGGCTGTTTCTTCAATGTCTCCTCACCTCCATGCCTGAAGTACCCTTGTATATATTTTTTTCAAGTATTATCTATATAATGAGCAAATTATCTGATAATACATTTTAACTCGGAATATTAACTTGGACACTTTAACTGTGGAATATTTCAGTTTTAGCACAAGAAAAAAATGCTTGCAAGGTATTGCAGTGTTTGGCATTTTTACTGCAAGTTTTAAATCAGCGTTACTCAA